ATGTTATCGTGTGTCATGTTGCTGGCAGACAGTGAAAAAACACTTTATGGTAAAGCGGAAGCGTAAAGATTCAAGAACATCGACAAAGAAGAAGGACCAGTCCTAGAACACCTAGTGAAGATAGAGCCACGCTTTCACCTCCATCTAGTGATGAAGGCTTGCACGGAGACGAGTGTGATTTTTTTAATTAGATCTACTTTAGGATTCCAACCGTTACTTCAGAGGACGTATTCATCATTGAACATGAGGTAAATTCTACCTTGAGGTAAATTCTATCCCAAGGTACATTGTATTCTAAGCGATTGGTATTCATCAGTTTACCTCGAGATAAATTCTGCCTTTGCCAGCGCGCAATACATTGACGTTTTTTCCGAGCACGCTATGACGTCTTAGCGGTGCATGAAGCGACTTATTGCCAATAGAATTCCTGTTAAGATAAAATTAATCGTTATTTTGTGTCATCCAGATCCGAGCTTATATGTTTTGACAAGAAGACGGTTTGAAGGATCTTACATGATCGAACACAATAAAATGAGAAGGTTACATGTCCCAAAATATAAAGGGAGGTTGTGGCCATTTTTCTTCCTTAAAGGCAGCGTCCAGGCAAATCTGGACATACGGGGGTTGTGATGTCTAAAGTAATTTGATGCCCTAATAAGACACCGCCCAAGCGGCAGCTTAAATGGTGAACTCACAATTGAGATATTCGCCTCCAAACTGGACCCCGGGATCGTATTCGCATGGATTCATGGCACGACACTCGTGGTCCTCGCGCGAAACTGATGTGTGCGCCATGAATCCATTATAATCCCGGGGTCCAGTTTGGAGGCGAATCTCTTAACTGTGAGCTCACCATATCTGCCGCTTGGGCAGTGTTTTGTTTTTTTTGTTTATAGTTAGTCAGCTTTGCCTGGACGCTGCTTTTAAGCTACATGACAAAACGCACCTCATTTTCGAACCTATAAGGGCAGCATTCCAAGTTGAAGTGACATCGAAGAAGAATGTACAAGGGTCCCAAAATCTTCCAGCTCAACTCTGCGACATTGTAACTTTGTTGGTATTCTTCGCACTCGACCTAAATTTTGCGGGCGAGTTTGACGTAAAAATAATATTACTTAATAATAAAAAATTTGGTATCTGTGTCGTGCACAAGAACTGGTTTCTCTTCATTGAAAAATTGTAGAATTAAAAATAAATTCTTCGAATGATATCCTGCCACTGGCAAGGAAAAAATTTTTAAGTGCAAAATTCCGAGAAAGTTGAAACATTAATACTTAATCAGTCTGAGTGGCGGATTTTGGCTGAGAGGTTTGTATTTTCTGCCACAACTCGTTTAACAGTCACTCCGTTCATATCAATCTCTGTTGATCAAGAATGTTATGTAAATTTAGTTTTTTAAATTTCAAAGTTCCTGTTAGGGCTTGGCTCGAGGTAAGCAAATGACAGGCTGGAAAACGTTTTGGGTGAAAAAGCAAAGGGAATATCGTTTTTGCGGAGTCCAAAGCAGAGCTCCAAAAAATTGGTAGTTCATGCTCACTGCTTATCCTAACATGCTATCTATGTGCTTCAACAGGCGAACACTGGAGTTCGCGAGCGTCAAACCGCGCCGTCGCTAATTACGCACACCCAACGTCGCTCAACCGATGCTTCTGTAACAGCATACATGACTAGTCGAATTAGTCGTACTAGCAAAACTAGTAGATCCTTTAGTCTGCTTTAGTAATGTTTATCATGACATCAAACCAAGCTAAGTTGGACTAGTTAACACTTTCTTCGCTGTCTTCATCTCTTCGACTATACAAAACTGACTGGGACTACGACGTATCCACTCCACAACCAACACCTAAGAAACTGGGTATATTTGAGCACTGCCTAGAATATTGCGGTAGTATTCTTTAACATGATTTTTCAAAAATCTTCTGCATTCGTTGTCAATGTAAAATTGCTAGAAGCTGAAAACTTTTGCAGGAAGTTGAGAACACACAAAGTGTAAAACGAATCGTGTCACATCTTTTGATGCTTTCCACATAAATTTTCAAGAACCAAATTCTATGTGATTAACGAGTTTTCGTTAAGTGCGCTGCCAAAAGTGGAAAAACATTTGGAAAAGATATGTTCGTAGAATAGAAGTCGCAGCCCGTCAATCCAAGTGAAAGTAGAAAAATTCTGAGACGCTATGGATATTCTTTCAGAGAGCAAGACAAGCTAAGGGCCAGAATTCAGAGAGGAATGAAAAGGTATCGAAAAGATCTCGCGAAGAGAAAGTGAAAGGATAGTTATGGACATTTCTAAAAAAAGCTTTGTGGGGCAGAGAAAGGAGTGCTAGACTCGAGACATCGAAAGTCAAGTGGTATGATTTTCCTGAGCTTGAATTTCAAGTCAGAGCTTTTATCAGAAATATAGAAGGGATCAATAGTGATTATAGTAATTTGCTCGAGAAGACTCTATAATAATATCGTTGGGAGCGTATCCATTACGTTCCGCGGAGGGTTGGTACTAAAGTGCCCGAGATTACTGCAATGTCTTGATAATCAACTAGACCTATTCAAGTTACTAGTAGCTGTTTGAAGCTACCACTTCGTAAGTAGAGTGGCTGCTACTCTGGAAGGGGAGATTGTTAGAAGTTCTAAAGGCTACGAAGAATTTTTAGGGCATTTTTGGGAAAGCGTATTATGGAAGACTTTTTTTGCACAGTGTAGTTTTGTAAAACACCTTACAAGATTGTAGAAGAATCCTGAAATAAATTGAAGTTTCTGTTTCGTAAATATCAGGGCCTGTCTTTCACATCAAACGAGAATATGGACACCGAAAAATGCCTAAGTGCGCACGCTTCAAGCGTATAGAAATCATCTTTTAGAGTAAAAGATAGTGTTTACACTAAAATAATAAGTGCAAATCTTCCTGTAGTACACTCGGTTTTTTTCACGAGTCGCAGCACTGAACACATTTGATGAACGAGGCAGCTTGAAATGCAATGTGCCAAGAACATTGCGGAAACGGAATCTCGAGTGGCCTAAAAGAGCCGGATTTTACATTTAATTCCAATACGAACAAAAACATATAACATCTTCATGACACCCGGAACTCTTTTGTTCCTCGAAACATGGTGTATATTTAAATAAAGCAAAATTACATTCGAAGCGAATTAATATTGGGTCAAAAGGATGTAATAGGTTTTTTCTTTTTGAAATCAGATTCAAAATTCGTCTCTTTCAAACCCCCGATAAACTTCCGTTTCCGCAATGCTCTTAGCACATTGCATCTTGCAAGCTGCCAAGCTTCGTCAAATGTATTCAGTGCTGCGCCGTAATAATCCTGAAAAAAACGAGAATACTACAGCGAGGTTTGCACTCATTTTTTCAAACAGTATCATTTACTCTAAAACATGTTTTACGTTTGGAGTAAACACACTTGGGCTGTTTTGGTGCCGATATTCTCATTTGATGTAAAAGACGGGCTCTGATATTTACAAAAAAAAACTTCAATTCGTTTCAAGATTTTTTCTACAATCTTGTGGGGTGTTTGACAAAATTATACTATGTAGAAAACCCCTTTATAATATGCTTTTCCAATTATGCCCTAAAGATTATTCGCAACATATAGAACTTCACGTAAAAATCTCCTCTTCCAAAATAGCAGTCATTCTAATTACAAGTCTTCTTCCTGTTTCCTTCTTCCTCACAAAGACTTCAGTTTAAATAGCTTCTATGCTGTTTCTGAAAATATAACACCGGGTAGATCTAATCTCATTTTGATTCATTTCTTTTTTTCTAACATTTTCAGTTCTTTTTTCAGTTGCCTATACAGTCTATATAGATACTTATTGAATTATTGTCCGCGACATTGTGACGCGGCCATTTCGGACTTCTTTTAGAAAATTTTTTTAGAATTTTTAGAATACATGTTTTTTAGAAAAGCTCAAAGTGTAGGTTGTAGACCTTGAAGAGCTCTATTACCCCATGCAACTATTACATTTTTTCATCCTTGTTTTCTTTCTGAAAAAAAGCGATGAAAAAGGGAGAGGGGTTTCTTCGCAACTTTTTGGCGGTCACTGTATGTCATAGTCTACAACGTCGCGCGGTCGAATCTTTGCTCTAGTCACTCTCAAAGCCGGGGAGACTTTTTGGCAGTTGGGCATTATATTCAAAATGAACTGACTCTGGATGGGTGGGGGAACGAACGCCGCCAATTTGGACGACCTCCGCCGGCCACTGGTCCTAGAGCGACATGGAACAACATTACAAAACGGACCAGTTGGCCGCGAAAAGCGGCTTGAACTGGCTGCATTCGTTTCCCTACTCGCTGTTATTAGTTCAAGAAGGAAGATTAAACGCTTTCGACAGCATGGCTACTTCCTATTACACAGTAAACGCTCTTAATTCTTGAAGACCGCGGCGGCCGTTATAGCGCGGCGTTCTTCGATTTGCCTTTTTTCCGTGCTTTCCGTTCCGGGCGATAAACGGAATACCTCTACTCAACCTTGCGGCGTAGCTCTTTATTTTACAGGCTGCCATGAATTTAGGTATAGTAGCTAATCAGTTTTAACGAATTTTTCAAATTCTCACTTACAACGAGACGAATTGCTTAATATGCTGATAATAACATTAACTTGAAATCTGTTGCTGGTCGCACATTGTAGGGGTACTGTACGGGCACAGTAAAAATACTGAATACGTTTTCTCTGTTGAGAATGGCGGCACAGACGGAAAAAACGTTCCAAAAAAGAAGCCTGAAAAAATGGCTGTCATCTTTTTGAGGAAAATTGTGCTGTGTGAGATCATCATCTCTGAACAAGATTGATATATTAAACTCACTCATGAGAAGTTTGCTTGAGACTCTTGAGCATCGTTCTACTGCGCCATTCAACCAGCATCCTACTTGCTTTCTCAGTTCATGTCAACCATGTGAAAGAACGCATTAGTAATCTTCATGTCATAGCGTATTTACAGAAAGTCAAGAAAATAGATAAAATGACTGTCAGCCGTATTTTTATGACAATTTTACGAAGGCTGGAAAGCCAATAATAAGTTTGGCTTTTCTATGGAAAATGCATAGAATACTCGCAGAGACCACAGGGAATGAATTTGCAAAAAACTCTGAAAGGCGGCCGACTTCTTTTTTACAGCACCCATTTCAATATCCGCATCGACAAAGTCCACTTGGTCTTCCTTGATGATCTGAAACAAGGACTCCTTGATGACGAGATTCTGTAGTAGCACACTTTATGAAGTCTAGTTCCGGGCGAAGGCGGATGCTACGCAGCGGGCGCGAACGCGGTCGCGTGACTGGACATCTGCCTTCATTTGGGAATAGATTATACGTACCTTCGCACTATTGCCCGTTGGTCGCAACCGAGTGAGCTCCTGTCGAGACCATGCTTGTGCAGACACAGAGTTTACAATCTGAATTATCAAATTGTCACGGATTCCTTGAGGGCAAGCAAAGCGAACCAACAGGATCATGCGTCATATTTAGCAAAGGTTCCCTTATTTGCGGTGAATCCATTTCTAACAACTCGTCATCTCTTATGACAGATCGTGTATTTACTAAAGATAGGGATTTGCAGTGTAAAAGCGTGTATATGAAGGCAAACACACCAAAGCTTTTATTAAGCACTGAGCAGCTCCTCGAATTCCAAGGACGAGTTACACAGCAAGCCAGTCGTCGAAACTCCGTCATTCGGAAGTAACACAACGGTTGACACACAGAATGCACGCCAATTACAACCTAAAACTGGTTTAAAACAATCAAACTGGTTCTGATTTTGAACCAATAATACCATGATATATCATTATCATCCACCTATAATTTTTTTTATCATTCATCTGCTCCTCTTATCAGTATGAAACATATTGAGAAAAGAACCAAATTTCGCGCATTCACTCGATAGGGCGGTATATTGTTCAAGAGAATTTGCAAATAGTTGGACACTTTATAAATTTTTTGAATTAAAAAAAATGAACCTTGCAAAAGAACCGGGAACCTGGCACTCACATCCCTTACTTCAAGTCTCAGATTCAAAGGTCCGCAAAAACTTGGTAAACATTCCAGATAGTCATTCGGAAAGTCTCAGCAACGCCACGCTTCTGCTTTCTGAAACAATATTCTCTCTTCTTCTCTCCCGAAAAAATTTCTTAAGCTTCCACCAAGTTTCTTAGAGGAAGTTTTGTAATGGACAGTGGTATTTTCTTCATGGTTACAAAAACGTATAAAATCCAGGCGTTTTTCAGAATTGCAATCTGCTCTGAGCTACGACTTTTTGACACATGCTATCTCTCATAGATGTATATTGGGACAAGAAATATTTGGATTATAGTATGGACAGCCAGCTTTCATGCAAAGTCAAAAAAATATCATAAACAGTTTTTAGATGTAAAATTCGGTTTTGTTTAGAAATTCCGATTTACTGACCTATAACCACCATCTTATTAGTGTGCTGCTATGCGTAATCTCTATCAAATGATTGATGTGTAGAAAAGCGACTCCTGAGTACAGACAGAGAAATAACAAATCCACTATCAATACTGTTCCAATCACATAAATATATTTGAGCCGGCCCACGGCTCTCATCTTAAAACGAAAATAGAGTCTTTCTAATATAATATTGTGAGCGATTACTTTCTTCCAGAGTTTGAGTTTGAGCAATTCATGGCTCGATGTCTTTGATCCTGCTCCTTGTGAATAGTACCATTCTCATTTTTGAATCTTTTGATGATGCGAAGTATAAAGGTATAACATACCTAAAAAGTTGTAGTTACACGAAAATAGAAATGATTGTTACATGTTTAACATGCCAATCACAGAATTTACTCAATTCTAGCGAGATTACGGTAGGTGTACGGTAAAGGGTCAGAATCTCAGAATTCGCCAAAATTCTGTCTGAATTTCTTCTGTATGCCCTACGAGTAATACATTCCCTTGTGATAATTCCAAAGTAGCGGAATCTATCTTATAGGCATCTACCGTAGCATTAGGAGGTTCATTACTGTAATGGGATAGTTGTACACATCAGTTGCAAATTTTTGTTTCATTTTTAGTCCTAAAAGAGCACTTATAAGTGAAATATATAAAAAATCTGGTCATTCCAATGCGTAGAATATGTGCAAAACTTCTCATTTATATTCTATTAGGTCGTTTCAAAAGTAATTTCGCTTTTTTCAAACGGGCGCCACATTTAAGAGAACAAAGGTTTCCAAGAGATCTTGGAAGCGTTCGATGCAGAATTTTATCCTCTTTCTGATGCTTATAAAATTGTTGCAAAACAGTCAATAAGCTTTCTGAAAATAACCAAAATCTGCGACCCATGCTTTTTGAGATGGTCAAGTTCCACGATTTTTCAAAACTTTCATATCAATCCTCAGAAGGAGCTCAAGGAACGATTTGACAGAGTAGACATTATAGAATACAGTACTGCTTTTTTTCTTTCTCGTAGCTCGCCGTAATTTTTTAGAAAATTTTTTAACAGAACCATCGGATTTTGGCAGGCTTAGCCACAATCGCATCAAACATCATGATTTTTCGGAATTTGAGGCTATCAAGATAGTACTATGAGTTGGCATTGATTTTACAAAGCAAGTGAGGGTTTACGGGTTCGAAATATCAAATTTCGAGTTTTTCGGGTACAGCCTGGGGCTCGCCGAATAAATGAGTTATGATGATATTATCCCCGAAAACTAAACGAATCAGAAACAAAAAACATCTGTTAGAAAGAGGAGAAAATGCTGCATCGGATAGTGCGCGAGCTGCTCTTCCATTGATGTTCTACGAGGATTTAGCTACCCAAGTATGGAAATCGATAGCATCAGTTAAAATTCTGTTAAAAATGTATGACAAGCTATGGAAAGGAGAAAAAAGTGGTACTGTATTCTATAAAGTTTACTCTATCCAATCGTTACTTGAACTCCTTCTGAGGATTGACATGAAGTTTGGTTATTTTCTGAAAGCTTATTGATTATGTTGCAACAATTTTAGCCATTAGAAAGAGAATAAAATGCTGCATCGAATGCTTCCAAGACCTCATAGAAACCTTTGTTCCATCAAATGTGGCGCCCGTTTGAAAAAAGCGAAATTACTTTTGAAACGACCTAATATTCTAGAACCTAATCGACCATTTTGACTCGACCCTCCCTTGGAGAGCGAAGTTGATCTAAAACTGCAATCGCCTAACGTTCCCGTGGCGATGGCGGTAGTCCTGCCCATGAATGTTAGAAAGCTTCGTACATTACCTTTTCCTTCTCAACCAATCATACGCCGTTTATAAGTGTGCACGTCAATGGTCGGAGCTGAAGGTTCATGTGTTTGTCGTGGCAGGAAGTAAGTGTTGCAACAAAAAAAACTTTATTACAACAGCAATGAGAAAACTTTGTAAGTTTCACCATGGACCAATAAGATCTTCGACAAATAAGCTCTCCTCTATGAGGCATATGTATCCGTAAGGTTTCTGCGGAAGATTAGCACAGCCGACATCTTCTTTAACATTCTTCATATGGTCATACAGTTCATTCTGGGACCTGTAGATCATCTGTGGTTGCTTTAGTTTAATGGATAAATAAACTGAACTCACTTGAAGTATGTCGCTTTATGTAAAAATGATTTTTCGTAGTAATTCAAAGATCCTACTAGTTTCGTCACGTTCAGTGGTTTTTCAGGGTCGCAATGCAGAGTGTACGTAGAGATGAAATCGGCAGCTCTTTCCTCTAGTTCGCAATCGTACTAGAAGATCAGCACTTCAGAATGTCCCAAAAGGATATATTCTGTTTATACAATATCTCTCTTCCCACAGTGTCGCTCGAAGTACACTTATCTCTCTGTAGAGCTCGGTTCAATATAGGTCTGCAGTATGGTGTTATTTACCGAAAGCTCTTCATTACTGTTGGATTACGGTGGAAAATTTAAAAAGGGTCGCCACAGCATGAAAACCAAGCAAGCTGAAAACGTTTGCACTAAGTCATTTAGGGTTCCCAATCCATTTGTACCTTACGATACTGCTTTGTTTGAAAGTCATGTGAATATACTATAATACCTTTTTCCTGGAAATCTTCGGGAACTTTTATGACTATGCCGTTCTAAGCTGGAAGTTTCTATGTAATCTCATTGTAATGAAGAGGATTGGTGAATTGCTTCATATGCATCTAACAAGTTGAAGCTGCCTCTACATAATGGTAAAGAAAGGTCAGCAGAAAACTTCGTAAAGAGTTATCAACGGTCAAACTCAAACAGTGCATACTTTTTGGAACACTCCGTATGTTAACAACGGACATTGGAAGGAGATCGTAAGAAGAGTAAACAACAAACTCACCTGAGATTCTTTTTTGAGTAACACCTTTCTCAGTCTAGTTCTAACTTCAGGGTCGAGATAATCATCATCACAATCACTGTATGCAGCTCTAATACACAAAATCGCCTGAAATCTCAGCAATGCTTTAACTACCCACATAGTCAAGACGACTTACGCTAAAAATGAAACATAGATGACGCAGATGACACATTGTTGCTAGTGACCCAATTTTCCTACATTTATTCTATTTAACTTGAACACTGCCTAACGAGTTTAGCGAAACAGCTGTCACCGGCCACCTGACTCCACAAAATCAAAATTATTCACTTGCCTTGCTGAAGCTACCATAAGTGCTGCTATCTTTGTAGCCCGCTGACTGCACTTTCCACCTGTATTAGAGGAATTTTGATTGAAGACTATTGTCACATTGAAAGTGATTTGTAAAGTTTTTACAGCAATAATCGACGACGAACTATTTGTACAGTAAGCGCACTTTATCATTCAAAAATCATGCATACTTGACGCGTAATTCCGCCTCCGTTTTCTTAAGAAACTAGTACAACAATGCTTCTCTGCTTTGTTAGACTATCAGGATTGGAAGAAAAACGGAAGCTTGATGCAGTTTGAGTTGAAATAATTGTTCTCAAATGCTGCAATTTGTGCAACTCCTTAAGCTGAAGGCCTTCGCCATAGCTAATTCGATTCCGGTGGTGACGCGATTTGTTTGGCAATACTCCAGCTGGGGGGGGGGGGGGGGCGCAGCCAACATGAACGATAGAATGTGCCAGCCATATGCGTTGCGTAGGTCAAATATTTCCTAGATTTTAGATTTACGTTATGATGACATTTAAAGTTTTGGAAAAAACGCTGGAAGCTCTGTACCGCCTTATTCTTACTGTTCGACACCAGTTTCAATCCAGTAAAGAACATATCGCTTCAAAAAATAAGACTTTAGGCGCGGCATATTGACAACGGCACGAGTACAGTATGCTTATTTCCAGCTATCGTTCATCCTGGCATACACCCCTCCAGCTGTCCACAACTCATCGAGCACAAATCATTAATGTGCAGATGATAAGATAAGACAATTCATCACTCTACAAAAGCTATACAAACTATGGCATATGCGGCCTCCCAGTGTGGCATTTGAAGACGTCTGGTAAATTACCAGATCGCGTCGCAACTTAAATCGTGTGAGGTGTGCCAAGCATACTCCATGCGATACTAGTCGATCTGGCATGACTTGATTTGGCAGGCTTACGACAGGCACAAACGCATCAAACACGAAGAAGTCTTGAAATTTGGGACATTCAAAAAAGGATTATCATTTAAGTATTTTTGCAGTGCCAACGAGCGTTGTTCGGAGTCGAAATATCAACTTTCGAAATTTTCTGCTGCAGCTCAAGACGCGTTGAAAGATGAGTTATGATGATTTTTTCCTCCAAGACTATACGAATTAAAAACAAAAAAATTCATCAGAAAGAGGAGGAAATGTGCATGCAATAGCACCCAAGACACTTTCCGATTGACGTCCCACGAGTTTTAAGTTGATCAGATATGGAAATTGGTAGCATTTGATAATATGCTACTGAAAAATTATGGCAAGCTATAGACAAGAGAAAAAAATTGTACTTTTTCTGTATGGTTTGCTCTATCCCAATGTTGCTTCGGAGAGTTGATATAAAAGTTGAGAGACTGTGAAAACTGATTATCTCAACTGGAATGGATCGCATTTTGGTAATTTGCCGAAAGTTCGTTGACTATGCCGCAATGGTTTTGAAACCTCTAGAAAAAAGTTGGGATGCTGAACCGAATGCTACCCAGATATTTTACAAATCCTTGTTCCTCGAGATGTGACGTTCATTTGAATAGGACAAAATATTGGAACGACCTAATATTAGGTCAAAGAGATGTCATAAGTTTTTGTGTTTTTTGGAAACAAATGTAAAATTTGGCTCTTTTAAGTCACCCGAAAAACTTCCGTTTCCACAATGCTCTTGGCACATCGCATTTCAAGCTGCCTCGTTCATCACATGCATTCAGTTATGTGCCGTAATAATTAAGAAAAAACCGAAAATACTACAGCGAGACTTACACTTATTCGTTTGAGTGTAAACAGTCATTCAATCCAAAAAATGTTGTCATTTTTTCATGCCGAATTTACAAAACAAAAACTTCAGTTCATTTCAGGAACGAGGACAAGTAATGATCTTTATGTGTTTTAAGTAATTTATAGCCCGACTAATACATGCCATTAACTACAATATCGTTTTTATGTTCAAAGGCTAGGTGATTTGGTCATAATCGTCTGCTCTAACTACTTCCAAAGCTTCCTTTTTGGCAATTGTTACATCACAATCAGATTTGCACACCATGCTTTTTCAACAACCTGAATTGGCTGGATTTGATTCACATAGGTCAGCTGCTCTTTAAAACATAGAATACCGCTCGCTTGTATAAATGGAGCTGAATGTCTATATGTCTATATGTGTGTATGCGTGTCTGTACGTATATTCCGCTTCATTTCCGAACAGCCGAACCAAACTTTGCACACATACACTTCGGGTAGGGGCGGGTGTCGTAAGCTACTTTTTGTTATCGAACAGTATCGATTCTATCGTGTTTTTTGCAAGAGCTGCAGAGCTGGTTGGCACAGGGGTGGAAGGGAGGGGGGGGGGGGGTAAGTGAGCAAGCTGATTGCGAATATATTACTGACAGATCCGGGCAGAGCGATTTGCCAGCTAGTTCGTGAACATAACTGCCACGTTCGCGCACTTAGCCGCAGTAACGCCAAGTGTTTGATGTTTTGCGAAACTTTCGTTCCGGACGCCAACTTTTCAGAGCGAGCGAATTTTGCTTCCGAAGATACCAGTCTAGGTAACGGTGTGCGTGGTGTCTTTTCTTAGCAATCATTAAATGGAACAATTTCGCAAATATACATCACGGCGGAGCGGCATAGGCCATATAGTTTTTGTTGTTGTTCGAATCGACTCAAGTTTTCTGTAAACTCAGAGGATTTGGCTTTTGTGGTGTTTTTCCTTAATCAAAATAGTTGCGGTTTGCTTTAGGCAACGACTTTTCAAAAAATACTTGAACAAAAAATTTTCAAACTTTTAGTCAAGTCAGAGCCACCTTCTGCGCAAAGTATTGGGTCGTTTCGAAGGACTTTCGCTTTTTTCACATAAATGCCACATTTCGTGAAACAAGGATTGAGATCTCGGTAGCATTCGATACAGCGTTTTGTCTTCTTTCTAGTGGCTATGAACTCATTGTGAGTTCGAAAATTACCGGAAGTTCCGGCTATTACCGATAGAGGAGATAATTGCTTCATCAGTACGATACTACATTTCTGCTCTGTACAAAAAGTTAATGGTTTGTTGTCACACTAGAAAATTATATTACTGAGGTTCGATTTGTTGCTTGAAAAGTGCACCTTTAGTTCAATCATTCTAGACTTACCATCGCTACATTGACTCAACAGGACAAACTATCAAGGCATTTTGCCCTCTCTGTCAACCAAACGTTTGATGCACTTGTACAGAACATCGAAAATAGCAAACAAAGCACTTTTGGCTAACTAATTAGCTTTAGGTGTCTGAAGCTACCACGTGATGAATAGAGTGACTGCTGTCTTGGAAGAGATGATTTTTGTGTGAAGTTGTATAGGTTACGAGGAATCCTCAGGACATTTTTGGAAAAACATATTGTGAAACACTTTTTCTTTTGCATAGTATCATTTTGTCAAATACCCTATAAGAATGCAAAAGAAGTCCTGAAGTGAACTGGAGTTTTTGTTTTGTAAATGTGAGAACCTGTCTTTCACATCAAGCGAGAATATCTGCATGAAAAAATGCCAAGTGTGTCCACTTTAAGCGTAAAAAAACACCTTTTGGATTGAACGACCATGTTCACACTTCGATGAATAGATGTAAGTCTCGCTGTAATATTCTTGGTTTTTTCAGGATTCAGGCACATCGCTGAATGCATGTGACGAACGATGCAGCTTGAGATGCGATGTGCCAAGAGCATTGTGGAAACGGAAGTTTCTCGGGTGACTTAAAAGAGCCGAATTTTACATTTGTTTCCAAAAAACACAAAAACTTATGACATCTCTTTGACCTAATATTAGGTCGCTCCAATATTTTGTCCTATTCGAATGAACGTCACATCTCGAGGAACAAGGATTTGTAAAATGTCTGGGTAGCATTCGATGCAGCATCCCAACTTTTTTCTAGAGGTTTCAAAACCACTGCGGCATTGTCAACGAATTTTCGGCAAATTACCAAAATGCGATCCATGCTAGTTGAGATGATCAATTTTCACAATCTCCCATTTTTTATATCAACTCTCCGAAGAGACACTTGAATAGAGCCCATGCGAAAATAGTACAACTTTTTTCTCCTGGCTATAGCTTGCCATAATTTTTCAGTAACAAATTATCAAATGCTAACCAATTTCCATATCGATCATTTTAAAACTCGTAGAACGTCAACCGGCAAATGTCTTGGGTCTATTCGATGCAACTTTTCTTCCTCTTTCTGAAGGATTTTATTGTTTTGATACGTATAGTCTTGGAGGAAAAAATCATCATAACTCATCCTTTTAACGCGTCTTGAGCTGTTCCAGAAAATTTCGAGAGTTGATATTTGGACTCCGAAAACAATGCTCGGTGGCACTGTAATAATAGTTGATAATCCTTTTTTAAAGGTCCCAAATTTCAAGACTTCTTCGTGTTTGATGCGCTTGTGTCTGCCGTCAGCCTGCCAAATCGAGTCGTGCTAGATCGACTAATATCGCATGGAGTATGCTTGGCCAACACTTCACACGATGTAAGTCACGACGCATTCTAGTAATTTACCAGATGTCTTCAAATGCCACACTGACAGACCGCATATGCGTAGTCTGTCTAGCTTTTGTAGAGTGGTGAATTGTCTTATCATCTACACATTAATGATTTGTGCACGATGAGTTGTAAACAGCTGTAGTATTGCCAAACAAATCGCGTCACCACTGGGATCGCGTGAGGTATGGCCAAGGCCTCAAGCCTAAGGCGTTGCGCAAACTGCAGCATCTGAGAACAGCTGTTTTGACTCAAAATGCGTTAAGTTTCCATTCTTCTTCCAGTATAGATACTCCTGTAACAAAGCTTAGAGGCACTT